TAAGAAAGCAAGAAGTAGTGAGTAGATTTATAATTTTTTTGTAGTCTGCTTTTTGTAGTCACACTTATTTATTCTTATTTCGAATTCAAATACAAAAATTGACATAACCTATGTACAAGAGGAAATCAAAAAGTAAATTTATTTTATTCACATACAATAGGCGTTAACAAAATATGTACATTATTTCTCAATACAATCATTTAGCTTTGCATAAAATTTTGTTTAACAATCTACAAATCTGATTCCATCTATGAACAAACTGGTTTTTGACTATCCTCGAAACATCAATGGTATATACCGTTTCCTTAACTTTCTTAACTTCCTCATTACTATTACGATCTTTGTGCTTCGAGCAAATTGGTTTCCATTTATTTGTATCTTCGGTATTCTTGGTTGACGTTCGTAATAATTATATATAATTTCCGCTAATTCTGAATCTGAATCACCAGACTCTTCATCACTAGAATCAAGTGCTAACTTTATAATAGTTTCAAATATTTGAAATCGAATTTTTTCTGTATGTTTCTCTCCATATTTCTAGGTTACTTGTTTCTTTTCGCTGACGTCGCTATATGCTGACAGCACTGAAAATATCGTTCCAAAATGAAAGCTGCGTTTGCATAAAAAGCATGCTTATGAAATTGGAACACTATTGGTAGCATGCACTTATGACGACATGCTCGCAGCGCTGACAAACAATTTTGGAACACAGCCATAGTCAGGGGCTCTATTCTTGAAAAGAAATGTATACGAAAGTTTAAGGAAATATTATAATATACGTAACGTATACTGTAGCATTATCCTAGACTTTCGTATACGTTTCTTTTCAAGAATAGAGTCCCAGATCTTATATTCAAGACCGTCTTAAGTATGATCTTAATAAGAAGTCACGAACCAATCAGAGGGCTGCATTAGGGTCTTAAGACATTACTTAAGACGATCTTGAAATAAGAATCGACTATGAATACCGGCTTAATAGGCCTTCTACAATAAGCCACAAGTCAGAACGTCAGAAGTCTTAACCAGTCTTAACCAAGCCGTTCAAGTTGACTATTGGCTAACTTCACCGATTATGACTTAAGATCGCTTAAGCCCATGGCACATAGAAAACCGTAAGTCAGAACGTCAGAAGTCTTAACCAGTCTTAACCAAGCCGTTCAAGTTGACTATTGGCTAACTTCACCGATTATGACTTAAGATCGCTTAAGCCCATGGCACATAGAAAAACGTAAGACGTAATCAGTAAGGAAATCGTAAAGGCCCGTCTGCAATACACGGAGTAAGAAGTAAGAGTAAGAAATTGACCAATCACAGTCGATTATTTTTCTCACATTCGACTGTGATTGGTCAATTTCTTACTCTTACTTCTTACTCCGTGTATTGTAGACGACGCTTAACATTGGATTCGCTACTAGCCTTACGGTCTCTACTGTGATTGGCTCTAGAAGTTGAAATAGTCTTGCATAAAATATGACACATAAGATATAAGAAATTCAAATAATAGAGTTCCTTATTTCATGGATAATAAGGAAATAAAGAACTTTGATTGGTTCATTTTTATATGCATTAATGTATAACATATAATTGGTATGAGATTTTTACTTATGTATCCATAAGTAAAGCCTGCGGCACACGATGCTTGTTTTCCTGCTGGATTGCTAGCTGGATTAGAATCTTGCCACTGTATTGCCTGCGATGCTGGCACTGACAGCATCACATCCAATACGGTGGCAAGATTCTAATCCAGCTAGCAATCCAGTAGGAAAACAAGCATCGTGTGCCGCCGGCTTAAGTCTTATAGCGAATTCGGTCGCTTGCACTATGTTAGATTAGTGCATACTAAAAGCTGCTTTACATGAAATTAACAAAGTTAAATGTAAAAGTATATAAATATTTTTAACGATTAACTATCTACTGATGATATAGTCACGTTATTTAACAAAATATATATGTATAATTTCATTGTCAAAGTTGATTATATTGTATCACTGCATTAAGATATTTTATGTAAAGCAGCTTTTAATATGCACTGATCCAGTGTAGTGCGAGTGATCGAATTCACCATTAATTATGAATTGTAGAACTGGACTTAAACGGTATTTGATCGATAAATTAATTAAAATTAATTTAAATTTGCGTCAAATGGTCCGGAAAAATGTAATGTATGTACAATGTAATGTAATATATTAGATACATATGTAATGTATTAGAAAACTACGTATTAGGAACTATTTAAGATATAAGTATTTCATTAAGAAACAATGAATAAATTAACAATAGAAAATTTCATGTTAATAGATTATTTAATATAAATATAAATTATTTAATATAATATAAATTATTAAATAAATAATATAATTATATAAATTATTTAATAAAAAGTATTTTAATAATTTGGCAGAAAGTGCGCTTCCAGTATATTTCTGGTATAGGAGCGCCCCTGAGACAGAGGGTGCAATCAGGGTTGGTAAAAAATATGTTTTAAACGTGTTTTAAACAGTTTAAAACATGCTTGATGTTTTTAATATGTTTTAAATATGTTTTTTTTATAGTACTGTTTAAAGCATATTTAAAGCATAAAAACGTATTCAAGAAGAAACACAATATGTTTTATTCTTAAAAAAAAACATTAGTCTTTACCAACCCTGGGTGCAATCCACTTCACGCTGCAAATGTTTTGAAGCATTCTTTGATTGGTCAATTCGAAAAATTCTTTCTTCTGATTGGTCAACGAAGTGTTTGCAGCGTTAAGTGGATCACACGCAGAGAGTCACGTGAGCGCCCGGCGGCTTGGCCGTGCAGTGGTGGGGATCGCGCGCCGAAATCGTTATCACCTCGTAATTGCTCGAAATGTACAAATCCTTGCGAGCATTGTTATATGTAATGTTTGGTCGCTCTCATCGTCTCATCGGTGAAATAAGGAGATAGAACGAACACGGATTATACTTTACTTATTTATCACCACGTTTATTTTTTACGGATTGATTGGATTCAAAAAATGGAAAGGAGCGAAAGGAGCTTCACGCAGTGGCGTAATTCTTCCATCTTTCCATCTTCTTATCAAATCGAAGGCAATTCTGTGATAATCTCCGACAGCGAGGACGAGATTAGTAATTCAAGGGAGAACGATAAATCGGACAAACAAATAATCGTTGACGAAAGCATAGAGATCGAGGATAACGCCAATATTTCTATCGAAGATACCACACCGAGGAAGTAAGTATATTCTATTGATAAAACTATATAAATATAAATTTTAATAATTACGTGAACTTCTATAAAAACCGGCCGTCTTTAACAGTATATTATCGATATCAAGGCTAAATTCGGACCTATAGTTATGCCAAGATTAATCCGTTTGTTTGAAACAAAAAAATTGCCTTGACAATCGGCGGTTGCCTTGTTTGTTGTGATATCACGCGAACTTTCACAAAAATGACCGTGTTTGCTAGTATATTGTCGATATCGAGGCTAAATTCTAATGACGTACTTCTAGCTATGTGAAAATAACATGTTTGAAACAAAAGAATCACCTGACGATCGGCGATCGGCGGTTGCCTTGTTCGTTGTGATACATTTTTTCGTTAAAAGAATAGAAATGACATTGGACGATAGGAGACTCAATGTGAATAATATTCATTTAACAATGATATCATAATATGTAATAATCATATGTCAATTATTTATTAATGATATTTTACTTTTTCATTTACTTAACAATAGAAGAAAAAACAGTATAAATACGAGTAGCTATAACGCGTATGAAGTTTTCGATGTTGACTGGTTGCCCCCACCATTCGACTTTTCCGATTCCGTTTCTTGAATTTTCGCGTTATAGCTATTCGCATTTACTGTTTTTTTTTTCTATTGTTCAGTAAATGAAAAAGTAAAATATCATTTGTAAATAACTGACATATGATTACTACATATTATGATATCAATATTAAATGAAAATTATTCACATTGAGTCTCCTATCGTCCAATTTCTATTCTTTGTAACGAAAAATGTGTACCATTGCGCATAATGGCGATACTAGAAACAACAAATCAAATTTTGCCCTCTATGCACTTTCCTGTGTATACCAGCGCTGACATATTGGAATATCAATCAAAATTCGGAACAAAATTCACTCTCCTAGGATGCATTCCGTTTCACGCATGATGTGCATAATGCATCATTTATCCTTGTTTAACATTCGGTGAATAACAAGAATAAATGATGCATTATGCGTGAAACGGAATGCAGCCCTTGCTTCTTACATCATGTGTAGGATACTTTTAAGATCATTTTAAGGTCAGTGAATGGCATTTTCAGAAAAAATGTTTGTGGCAAAAGTTTCTTTTTTTTTCTTGTGTGTAATCCGAATCTGCAATAAAAAGTACATTTTACATTTAAAAAATTTAACATTTTGTCTGGATAATCTATGTTCGGTTGGAATCGGAAGTTGAATATACCACCATTTAATAGAATGTATCCGATTTATTTATCAAAGATTTTTTAAAAGTAAAAACATGAAATAAATTTATCTTTTTACATATTTTTGTCATATATGAGGTGTAACTAAACTAAAGAGATAAACTTTAAGCATTCCACATTAAATATGAAAAAAAGGTTTATATTAACATATATTCGCAAACCCACTGTTACAAAGATAACAGCTTAAACAAATGTTTATTAATGGAAAATATCAAAGTAATATTTTTTATTATTTAATATTATTTAATTTTCAATTTTTAATTGCAACAAATGTTCAAAGTGTCTCCCATTTGATTCAATACACGCATGGGTCATGGACTATCGCACTTTCAAAAATCCCGAGCGGTTGCGAATAGTTTCACGAGCATCAAATATGCGTTGGAGTAGCATACCTTCGATGTTGATTTGAATAAATTAAAAGAGTTTTAAGTGTCCCTTAAATAAAAATCGAATGGATTGAGATCGAGAGATCGTATCCGAGCCTTATTAATAATCTCAATAATAGTGAATTTGCTATGTTTATATTAACTTTTTTTTTATTTTTGGTGAGGAGCTTGTCCCCAAAGTTTGTCTTTTAGTTATATCTCGTGTTTATTATAACTGAAATAATTAAAATTAATTGAAAAAATTAACTGAAATATAAATTAATGGATATAAACATTTTCTTATAAATATTTATGTACAGGAATTATAAAGATAGTGAAGCTGATAGTACACCTGTTGTCCATCCGAACATAAATAAAAATACAAGAAGATATGTGTTGGACTCTGATTCTGACAGTGATTATGAACAGATAGATGATCATGAAAATGATGACGCATATCATACGATTAATGATTTTAACAATTCAACAAAAAGTTCTCATGAAAATTGTAATGAAGAATATTACAGTGACTTCAATTCTGATGCAGGTAAAAATTATCTAGCAAATAAAGATTAATATTATACATAACATTGTAATTTTGTATGTACGTAATACTATGATTTTGTATACAGATTTCTTTATGATTTGTATATCGGATATCTGCTGTTAAAATAAAATTTTTGTTTGATTATATATATATATATATATATATTATTTTATACAGTGTCCCACGTAAAGACCGTAATAACACTTAAGGGTCCTGATCATTTTAAGATGAAAATTCTAATACTATAGTGTCGATGATATAATAGTTTTTGAATCATAAACATTTAAAGTTATAACTAATTATACCGTCTAAAATTTGCGCGTTCAGGCATGATACCCAGTGAGAAATAACGAATTGAAATTATATCGAAATAATATCGAATAATCATCGAAAAGAGGTAGAAATCCAACATCGTTTTGAGATTCAGATGGGCTCGATTTCGAAAAAATTTTGACATTAAAATCAGCTCGATTTCGAACAATTTTTGAAGTCGAAATCAATGATCGCATTCAGCAGACTTAACTGTTGGGGAATGGATCTGTAAGCGCTCGCTATTAATTTATCTAAAAGGATACACCAATAACAATACAGTAATTGCTCATGGATCTGTTCCGCAACAGATGAGTTTGCTGAACGCGGCCAATGTGAATTTGATAAACAACAGTGCAGGATAGGCTACGAGCGCATGATGC